CACCAGTGCATTTTGGTTGCAGGCCTCAGACACTTCTTAGCTAAGAGCAGTACTATGACTGCTCTAAAAGCACTTATTTTAACGTGGAAGATTAAAGACGATGTCGTAGCTGAACAATATGCGGCCAATCGAGCTGACAAACTTCGGCAGATTTCCTACTTGAAAACCTTGTCCCCCATTCAAGGTGGAGTCGTAAGGGCTACTGGTCTGCAGATGCCATTCGCTTTGCTCGTATAATCATAGAGAAATATGCGGTAAAAAAGGAAAAATTATATGCGGCTTTCTGAATATAGAGAAAGCATTCAACAAGGTATCCCATAACGTCATATGGTAGGCACTGCGAACACATGGTAAAAGAATAAATTCGGAAGACGAGGATGCTCCTTAAGGAGCTAAGCCATGTGGAAACTGCGACAAGGGAGCCAAAGTCATTCCGCATAAGGATCGCAAATCAATTATGAACAAAGCCTTACGGCTCGGAGTCACCACTTTGAAGACAGAATATTTGGAGATCAAACTCTGAGACCACACCCTATGAGGGCCAATCAACCAGACAAATTTCTTCAAGTATCTAAAGGCTGAAGCGGGACTTCAGGGCGAGCTGTCGGAAAGTATAATTGCAACTTGCATACAATCGAGAACTTTCGAAGAGTCCTGTATGATAACGATGACAGTGCAACTTGAATCTCAAATATATCGTACTGTAAGTAATGCTAGCCAAATACGCGGAGAGGAACACAAGCTCTGCGTCATGAAGATAAGATCGCTGCAGTAGACAGATGTTATCCTGGCACATCATGTTTACGATGAAACGGTTCAAGCAAAAATAAAATTTGCTTTCATAATCAAAAAGATGAAGGGAAGGCGAGGCGACCGGGATGGTAGAGCATGTGAGCCGGAGAGAATAAACAAACAGTAGAAATGATGTCGCTTGAGGCATATGGAGGGAGGGGGTAAAACGAGAATGGCCAAAACTGTGATGCACGGACGCTTTTAGAGCTGACTTGAGGAAACATAGGCAAACATCATGCATTTCTATTAAGTAGTCTGGAGACGTTGACTAGTGTAGCAGATGCTCAGTGGGGGGAAAAATGCTCTGTAAAATTGAGAACCTATGGGAATTTCTGTGAAGCGTCAGTTGTGATACAGCGGACCTTACACTAATTTCGACAGCGCTAACCTCTCTTTAGAAAACATGCAGCCAAGTACTCCATGAAATTGTTAACCTGGGGCCATTCCATTTTGTTAACCCTATCCCCTTCGGCCAGCGTGCATTCATTTCGATGAGTTTATCGCAGTCATCACTTCACTCTAACTCAACTGCCTTACCATCGGCGTAAATTTCTTAGATTAACTGAGTGTAGCGTTCCCATAAGATGTTCAGCAGACTTTATGGCTCATTATATACGAGTTAAACTCTGCTTCCGGAAACAAATAGTAGCCTGTTTTTTAGATGAAGACTGCAACTGAAAATTCAAGGGCTGCCACGTTACGGTCAGATAACTTTGTCTCGTAAGCTTCTTCATGTTTTCTTAATTAAAACGAAAAACTTCTGCGTGATTACCTTGTTTTTTGTCAAAGTCTTTTGATTAGCTATGCTGATTAACTATTTCCACTTAAAAAACCAGTTGTGTTTACATGATCTTGTGATTAGAATAGCGGCTGATAATTTCATCACCCGATTTCAAGCATGGGTTTGTTTCACGCAGCAAAGTTGCGCTCCATTTTTTTACAACCGTAAAAAGGAAATGGAAGTGCCAGAAAGTTATGAGAGTATTTCGTGGTTATCCTCGCCCATTCCCGATGTCAAGCAAGTGAGTATTCATTTTTTGTAT